CACCACTTCCGGCTTTTTCTGCTTATGTGGTACTGAGGAATCGAACCCAGGGCCTCATGCATGCAAGGCAAGCACTCTACCACTGAGCCACCTTCCCAACCCCAAGCATACTGCTTCTTAAGGGGAGGAGACATCAGCAGGGTGGCTCACGCTGGTAATCCTACCTACTGAGGAGGTTGAGATCTGAGGATCATGGTTCAAAGCCAGCCTGAGCAGAAAAGCCTGTGAGATTCTTATATCCAGTAAACCACCAGAAAAATGGAAGTGGTGCTGTGGCTCAAGTGGTAGAGCACTCGCCTTGAGCTGAAGAACTGAGGGACAGCGCCCAGGCCCAGAGTTCAGGCCCCACAACCAAAAAAAAAAAAAAAAAAAAAAGCAATGGAGAGGCTTTGAGTTCAAACCCCCAAAACACAGAGAGGTGGGGGGAGAGAGTGTCCAAGAGGCTGCCTGTGGCCAGGATGGAGCACCCTCCTCCTTCTCCCCCCAATAACCAGAAAAACCTGGTGAGAGTGAGGGACCAGGAAGGATAACGCAGTCCCCACGTCTCCTACGACAGTATATAACCCTGTCCTCAACCAACAAGCCAAGCTCCCCAGTGTGCAGCAACTCCACGGTTCCCTTCCCTTCTCTCCGGGCAGGGACCGCGTGGCGCGCATCGGCCTGGGCGTGATCCTCAACCTATCGAAGGAGCGTGAACCCGTGGAGCTGGCACGGAGCGTGGCGGGCATCATGGAGCACATGTTCAAGCACTCGGAGGAGACGTGCCAGCGGCTGGTGGCAGCCGGCGGCTTGGACGCTGTCCTGTACTGGTGTCGCCGCACCGACCCGGCGCTGCTGCGCCATTGCGCGCTGGCGCTGGCTAACTGCGCCCTGCACGGGGGCCAGGCGGTGCAGCGACGCATGGTGGAGAAGCGCGCCGCCGAGTGGCTCTTCCCGCTCGCCTTCTCCAAGGAGGACGAGCTGCTGCGGCTGCACGCCTGCCTGGCTGTGGCCGTGTTGGCCACCAACAAGGAGGTGGAGCGTGAGGTGGAGCGCTCGGGCACGCTGGCGCTTGTCGAGCCGCTTGTGGCCTCTCTGGACCCTGGTCGCTTTGCCCGCTGCTTGGTTGACGCCAGCGACACGAGCCAGGGACGCGGACCAGACGATCTGCAGAGCCTCGTGCTGCTGCTGGACTCGTCCCGCTTGGAAGCTCAGTGCATCGGGGCTTTCTACTTGTGCACAGAGGCCGCCATCAAGAGTCTGCAGGGCAAGACCAAGGTGATGGTAATGGGGGAGGGTGGATCAAGGGTTAAAAAGCATCTCGGGAGCCTGGTGCTGGTGGCTCTAGCCTGTAATCCTACCTACTTAGGAAGCTGAGATCTGAGGATCAAGGTTCAAAGCCAGCCCGGGTAGGAAAGTCGGTGAGACTCTTACCTCCAATAAACTCCTCAGAAAAATCTAGAAGTGGTGCTGTGGCTCAAGTGGTAGAGCGCTCACCTTGAGCTGAAGAGCTCAGGGACAGTGCCCAGGCCCAGAGTTCAAGCCCTATGACTAACCAAAATAAATAAATAAATAAAAGCATCAGGGAAGGCTTCCCAGAGGAAGTGATACTTGTCCAGGATTTGAAGGATGTATGAGCATTAGGTGAAGCCAGGTGCCAGTAGTTCATGACTGTAAATCCTATCCACTCAGGAGGGCTGAGACCTGGGTACCAGCTCCAGAGGTATGGCTCAAGTGGTAGAGGACCAGCATTAAGCAAGAAAAGTGAGAGTGCAAGACCCTGAGTTCAAGCTCCAATATAGTGTGTATACTGGATTGAGGAGCCAGCCATTTTGTCATTGAAGGCAAGACTCAGAGTTTGAACTTAGCCTCTGAGGGCAAGAGAAAACACACACACACACACACACACACACACACACACACACACACACGGAGGTTTTAAAGCAGGCAACACATTTTTATTTTTCCTTTTCTCACAAAGATCACCCTGATTGTTGTGCAGAAATGTAGCAAAGAAGGGCAAGATTAGAGGCAACCACCCGGGAGCTAGGCTGTCATGGTGTCTGGAGAATTGAGAGTGCAGATGTGAGGCTATGTGCAGTAACCAAGAGAAGCAGAGTCAAGAAGCATTTAAGAGGTGGGATTAGAGCTGGGTGCCTGAGAAGAGAGAGACTAGCTGAGGATAGGCCAGGCCACAAACACAGACATGCTGGAGAAAAGAGTGAATTTGGTGTGACATGTTGAGATTGAGGTAGCCAAGCCGGGCGCCAGTGGCTCACGCCTGTAATCCTAGCTACTGAGGAGGCTGAGGTCTGAGGATCACAGCTCAAAGCCAGCCCCGGCAGAAAAGTTTGTGAGACTCTTATCTCCAATAAACCACTAGAAAACCGAAGTGGCACTGTGGCTCAAGCGGTAGAGTGCTCACCTTGAGCAGAAGAGCTGAGGGACAGCGCCCAAGCCCAGAGTTCAAGTAGCTGACAGATGCTTCATTGGGCAGCTTCAGTGGGTGGTTTTGCTGCCTGGGCCTAGAGTCTAGAAAGGATACAAGAACTAGAGACAGAGGCATGAGAGGAAGGTAGGGCATCAGTGCATCTGTCAAAGAACTCTTAGCTAAATCCCAAAGGGTCCTCATAGCCAAGGTCTAAACCATACCTTTGTCTGCTGCTTTAACTTGCTAATGATCTCGAGTACTTGATTTTCTCTCTCTGGACTTCATTTCAGATAGACAAACAGACAGACAGATAGATAGATATAGTTTCTGAAGCCTCTCTGAACATCCAGTGTAAAGAGCTGGACTCAGAGCTGGGAAGGTGGCTCCGTGGTAGAGTGCTTGCCTTGCATGCATGAGGCCCTGGGTTCAATTACTCAGCACCATATAAATAGAAAAAGCTGGAAGTGAAGCTGTGGCTCAAGTGGTAGAGCACTAGCCTTGAGCTGAAGAGCTGAGGGACAGTTCCCACTCCAAGTTCAAGCCCCATGACCAATCGAAAAAGAAAAAAAAGAGAGAGAGAGCTGGATTCTAGCTTCTGTGCCCCAGAATTGATCTATGGGAAGACTAGCCAGTAAAACACATCATTTTGTCCTAGTAGACTTGGAGGACTTAGAATAAGAAGCAAGAAACCTAAAAACTGGATCTGTAGAACAACCCTATTAGTTCTATCACCTCTTTCCCATCAAGGCCAAGTGAGGGCAGTTCAACAAAGATGTTGAGCCTCTATTCCATGTCCTTTATTATGCCAGATATAGGGGCACATGTCCTCCACTTATAGGCCAGTGGAAGATGCATTATCAGCTAGTGACAGTAGCATTTGGAGTGTGGTCATAGTTCTAACTGGAAGTGTGGGCCAGGCTATGAAGAAATCAATGTGAGCTTCACAGAAGAGGCACTAAGCAGCATGAATTCCAACGAATGAGTAGGATTCTCATGAGCAGAACAGAAGAACTAAGGACTTGGAAGTGTCATAGGTAAGACCTAAAGGTATGAGAGCTTTGGTGGATGTATGAGGTGAGCTAGAAGTAGCATACTGGGGGTATACTATATAACCTGGTAGCCATACTGAAAACTCAGATTTAACCCCAGGGCAGATGAATGCTGTGGTAAGGACAGGTAAGGGACTTCTGGTCAAGAGTCAAATGAAGCTGGAAGCGGGTGGCTGGTGACTCATGCCTGTATCCTAGCTACTCAACAAGCTGAGATCTGAGACTCTAGGTCCAAAGCCAGCCTGGACTAACAAATCCAATGGACTGTTATCTCCAATTAACCAGCAAATGCCTGAAATGGAGGTGTGGCTCAAGTGGCAGAATCTCAGCCTTGAGTGAAAAAGCCAGGCTCTCTTTTGAGGCCTGGAGTTCAAGACCCAGTTCCAGTATGGGGGGAAAAAAAAAGCAAGCGAGCTTCATAAAGAAGAATGCACGACTGGATCAGAATGGAGGAAGGGCTAGGGTGGACAGTAGGACTAGAAGGCAAGGGAACACATCAGGGAGAAGCTGGCCAACTGGTAGACCCTAACCTGCCATCTCACCCCCTTCTCAGGTGTTCAGTGACATTGGTGCCATCCAGAGCCTAAAACGCCTGGTTTCCTACTCCACCAACGGCACCACTTCAGCACTGGCCAAGCGCGCACTGCGCCTGCTGGGCGAGGACGTGCCCCGGCGCATCCTGCCCTGCGTGGCCAGCTGGAAGGAGGCTGAAGTGCAGACGTGGCTGCAGCAGATCGGCTTCTCCCAGTACTGCGAGCGCTTCCGGGTAGAGCCTGGAGGGGAGGGAGATGCCTCCCCAGGGGTCTTGGGGCCACAATCTTTCCCAGAGTGCTCTGGGCACAGGCAACTGAATCCCTCGGTGCCCCTCAGGCCTGTGGTGCTGTGATAGCCTTTTGGGGAGGGGGAGTTTATATTCAGCCATGCTGCTCAGTGTGTGTGTGTGGGGGGGGTCATCGGCCTTTTCCACTGCCCCCTCCAGTTCCCTCCTTGGCATCTGGAGTTTGAGGGAGGAGGGGAGCCTGCCTCACACTGCCCCGCCCCCCCCAGGAGCAGCAGGTAGATGGCGATCTGCTTCTGCGGCTCACAGAGGAGGAATTACAGAGTGACCTGGGCATGAAATCCAGCATCACTCGCAAGAGGTAGGGAGTACCTCACCTGCCAGCCCAGTCCCACGCTTTCAGATCTAACTGACCCCTCCCACCCCCTCACCAGCCCGACCCAAGTTGGAACCACAGCTTCTTTTCTGCGGTGTGCAGGTTCTTTAGGGAGCTCACAGAGCTCAAGACCTTTGCCAACTACGCTATGTGTGACCGCAGCAACCTGGCGGACTGGTTGGGCAGCCTGGACCCTCGCTTCCGCCAGTACACCTATGGTCTGGTCAGCTGTGGCCTGGACCGCTCCCTCCTGCACCGTGTGTCCGAGCAGCAGCTGCTGGAGGACTGCGGCATCCGCCTGGGTGTGCATCGAACGCGCATCATCTCTGCCGCCAGAGGTCAGTCTGGAGCCCTACCCAGCTCAGCCTCAGTCTTAGAGAAATGAGGAGAGACTTAGGGTGGAGGCTGAGAGTCTTTCTCATCACACTGGGTCCACACTGAGGAAGCAAAAATGAAAGTGATGCACTTTGTCCTCAAGAAGTTCCCAGTGTGAGTAGGGTAACAGGATAGGAGTAAGCAGGTCTACCAACAGGCAGGTAGCCTTAGCAGGAAGCTTGCCCAGGACTCCACTGGGAGCCCAGGGGAAGCACAGCCTATTCTATCCACTCAAGTATAGACTTGGTGGGGGAGGGCTGCCTGGCCAGATCTTGAGGGATATTCGGGGGGGTAGGGCTAGCAGGAAAGGCAGCCCAGGCAGAGGGCAGCTTATGCAAGTATAGCAAGAGGTAGGAGAGCTGGGTGCCTCTCAGGAGGCTGAGATCTGAGGATCAAAGTTCAAAGCCAGGAACAGTGCCCAGGCCCTGAGTTCAAGCCTCAATACCAACACGAGAGAGACAGAGACAGAGACACAGAGATAGAAATACAGATAGACAGAGACAGACAGAGACAGAGACAGACAGAGAAACAGAAAGATAAGGCAGTGCATAGGGTGCATAAATGGCACCTGGGGAGCACACAGGGGATATAGGTTAGCAGGCAACACTTTACAAAGTACAGATTCTGGAATTTGTTTAGTTCCAGAGGACTATAGAAACTCTCTTGGTTTAAACTTATTTTAATTTACTGACTAATTATTTAGTTAACACTTATTGTGAATTATTATATACCAGGCATTGTATTATGTTTTTAACACCTTACCTTGTTTAATTTCTACTACCATTCTGTGAAGTAGGAGTTCAATTTTTTTTTTCAATCAGCTTTGGAAACCTTTTAGCCTGGTATGGTGGGCACATTCTATAATCCTAGTGGGGGATGGTAAAGGCAGAAGGATTGAGAGTTGCAACTAGCTTAGGCTACCATAGTAAGACCCTGTCTCAAAAACAAAAAGAAGCTGAAGGCTGGTGGCACATGCTTCTCCTAGCCATTCAGGAGGCTGAGATCTGAGAACTGAGATTCAAAGGCAGCCTAGGCAGAAAAATGCAAGACTCTTATATTCAATTAACTATTAAAAAAAAAGTTGGAAGTGGCTGGATGATGGTGGCTCACACTTGTAATCCTAGCTACTCAGGAGGCTGAGATCTAAGGATTGCAGTTCAAAGCCAGCCTGGGCAGGAACATCCATAAGACTCTCATTTCCAATAAACTACTCAGAAAAAGCCGGAAGTAAAGCTGTAGTTCAAGTGATAGAGGGCTAGCCTTGAGTAAAAGAAGCTCAGGGACAGAGCTCAGACCCTGCATCAAGTCCCAGGACTGGTACAGAAAATAAAAGATGCAAGTGTAGGTATAACCTCAGGGACAGTGTCCAGGCTCCAGGACCTGCACACACACACACACACACACACACACACACCTAAAGACATGGCCTCCCACATAGCTTGGAATGACATGAACCACTGCTAATAGCTCTGAATTGAGAAGGGAAGGGTCTGTGAGCTCTTGTGCCCAAGCTGGTCCTGAGCTGCCATCTTCCCATTCCCAGCCTATCAAGTAGTTGAGGTTATAGGCACAAACTACTGGTACCCAGCTTGTTTTTTTTTTTTTGCTTTTTTTTTTGTATTTTGTTTTTAAGCAGAATCTCATTCACTTTAGCTGGGCTAGCCTGAAACTCCTGATCTTTTTGCCTCTACCTACCAACTAGCTGAGATCACCACACCTGGCACAGTGCTTGCCTTCTGAGATGGGATTTATCAATGATGTCATCCTTCTTTTCTATAGAGCCTTCCTTCCCGAAGGCCTTACCTTTCATTCATTGGCCCTTTTTGGGTCAAGCCACCTTGCCCATCTGGGCTAAGAATTCTGGATGGATAGGGGACTAAGTCTTTAAGGGAGGATGTCCCTCACAGTGTGTGGTGGGAAGGGTTACACTTACTTGCTATCTCTCTTGCTGGCCTCAGAAATGCTACACTCCCCGCTGCCCTGCAGTGGCAGCAAGCCCAGTGGGGACACCCCAGATGTTTTCATCAGCTACCGAAGGAACTCAGGCTCCCAGCTGGCGAGGTAAGGAGGGACAGGCAGACAGTCTGGGGCTTTGGGCATGACCCCAGTGGTAACACAGGACTCTTCTTCAGCCTCCTGAAGGTGCACCTGCAGCTGCATGGCTTCAGTGTCTTCATTGATGTGGAGAAACTGGAAGCCGGCAAGTTTGAAGACAAGCTCATCCAGAGTGTTATGGGGGCCCGCAACTTTGTGCTGGTGCTGTCGGCCGGAGCACTGGACAAGTGCATGCAGGACCATGACTGCAAGGACTGGGTGCACAAGGTAGGTGCTAGACTGGATGTCTCCAGTAACAGCATTAGCCCAGGGCTGAGGGGTCAGGGTCCTCTTCTTCGAAGCTCTTCTTTTCTGCATTCAGCTGGAAGTTGAGAGCCAAACTGGAAGTCTACAGCTCTAACTGGCATAGGGCTTTTTTTTTTTTCAGTAAAAGCACCTAAGTCTCTTAGGATATTATTACAAGGCAAGTATTAAAAGAGCTCAATTGTGAATTGCTTAATAGAATGCCTGGCACATAGTAATTGCTGAAGAATGATAGCAATTCTATTAATATAATTATGATTACTATGTCAGTTTAGTTCACCGCAGTGTCTCCATGCATGGCATGTAGAAGGAAAGTAGACTACTTACAGAAGGCATGAATAGATGGTTCTATATCACATCTTCTTATCAATCATTCATCAGTCAATAGGAATTGAGGGCTGGGCTGAGGGATGGAATAGTCATCTGAGGCTCTTGTCCTCAAGCTTTTGAGGTGACAAACATGTGACAGTGAGCTGTCATGGTAGCCTGTGGCTATAGTTCTAACTACTTAGAAGGCTAAAGCAGAGGATTGCTTGAGCCCATGTGTTCAAGACCAACCCAGACAGCATAGCAAAACCTTGTATCTTATGCACATACTCTCTCTTACACACACAGAATGTGTTTACAGTGACTAGATGATATACAAGTTGGTGTAAATGCTAAGTCTAATAGCCAAACATCTCACTCATATTCCTACAGGAATATGGAGAAGGCTAGAATAATCACAGAGGGCTTCATGGAGGAAGCAGGACATACAAAGAGTCTTAAAAACATAGGTGAACTGAAGAGAAGCCATCCTAGGCAGGGGAACAGCATGAGAGAATGAATAAAGGTATTCTAGCCCACATGCAGGGCTAGTATCACTCTCTCCATATCATAGATAAAGAAATTGAAGCCGGGCGCCAGTGGCTCACACCTGTAATCCTAGCTACTCAGGAGGCTGAGATCTGAGGATCACAGTTCAAAGCCAGCCCAGGCAGAAAAGTCTGTGAGACACATCTCCAATAAACCACCAGAAAACAGGAAGTGGCGCTGTGGCTCAAGTGGTAGAGTACTCACCTTGAGCTGAAGAGCTGAGGGACAGGGCCCAGACCCAGAGTTCAAGCCCCACAACCAACAGAAAAGAGAAAAGAAAAAAAAATTGAGGCTTAGAGAAGCAGAATAATTCTTACATGGCCAGATTGCTAGTGCAGATGTCAGAAAAGCTTGGCTTTGAACTCTGACTCCAGAGCTTATACTCTTGCCCAGGATCTATGCGGTGTCAATGACACAGATCTGAAGTTGTGCAAGGGGTGGTGGTGAGAGAGTATTGAACTCAGGGTTCAGGGTTCAGCAGATACCACAAGTGACTGTCTACATCTCTTTTCAACTTCACAGTCAGTGATGTTGTATTGGTAGCTGGAAATCCATTGTGATAAGTATATTTGCACTAAGGAAACTGGCAACTTGTTCCAGTCAAGTTTGCCTATATGATTGCTTGGTTGGGGTTTTCCCCATAGAGAGCTAGCTGTTCAATTGCAGCATTGATTGGATGAGGACTATGGAACCAGGTTATGGACTATCTAAAGGCAAGAAGACTTGTGTTAAGCTCTAGGAAACAGGGAGCCCACAACAGGGAGATGCCCTGGCAGTGATGTTAGGACAACAGAGTGCAGTCTAGACTGCAGTGGGGAAAAAGGCCGAGTTCCAGAGGCATGTAGGAGGGCTGAGGACTGGGTCTGGTTTGAGGAGGAGGCCTGGGGCCAGAAGAAATGCTGAAGAAGAGCTAGGAATGTGCTGTAGAGGTAGAGTGCTTGCCTAGCATGCATGAAGCCCTGGGTTTGATTCCTCAGTACCACATAAACAGAGAAGGTTGGAGGTGGCTCTGTAGCTCAAGTGTTAGCTTTGAGCAAAAGAAGTGCCCATATACTGAGTCCAAGTCCCAGAACTGGGAGAGAGAGAGAGAGACAGAGACAGAGACAGAGAGACAGAGACAGAGAGAGACAGAGAGACAGAGAGAGACAGAGAGACAGCAGAGAGACAGAGAGAGACAGAGAGACAGAGAGAGACAGAGAAAGAGAGGCTGAAGGAACACTACTGAGGATCTTGAGTTAGGTGGTAGTTAGCAAGTAGGGGAGGGAACTGTCACCTTGTTTGTGCTGCTGGAGTCTAAAATCATGCATGGAACAAAGGAGGCTTTAAAAGTATTGAATTAACGCATATCCACTTATCAGAAGTCTTGACCCTAGTCAAGCTTTTGTTCTCAGCCAGAGTGCTTTTGAACATCCATTCAACCATTAGTGCTCTCTCTCTCTCTCTGTAGTGTATGTTTCAAATCCAGGGCCTCGTGAATGTTAGGCAAGGGCTCACCACTAAACCACACCCTAGCCCTGGCATATTCCTTAATTGAACAGCCTCTGTGCAATGGGGAGTTATATTATCTTTGGTTTTGTACAATTCTGAATGAAACAGATGTCTAATTGTGTGTGGCAGGGTCAGAATTCATCAAGATGCTTAACGGTCCCAGACTTGCACTCTGGAAGGCTTGAGTTAGAGGCCTGGCCCCTCCTAGGCTGGACATTTGTGGGATTTGGGGGAGATATCCCTTCCTCTCTGTATCTCTCCTCTTCTTCTGTAATGTAGTGAGGCTCTTCAAAGGCCACTTGGAGCTGAAGCTTTCCAGGCCCTTTCCCCAGGAAGATACTTGCCACCCATTGTCCCAACAGATGCATGGAGGGAGAAGGCAGGTAGGGTGGTGGCAACCTTTGGCTTGGACCAGTCCCCAAAACTCTGTCATCCTTCTTGGGGTGTTTTTTAGTGCCTAAGTGCCTCTGGTTTTAATATTCCCTTCTCCAAAGCCACATTTAGTGGCTAATCAATACAGACAACCACAAATGAACTGCACTCAAGAAAGTCCCATCTCTGTGGTTGCTTCTTAAAAGGAAAAAAAGAACTGATAAGAACTTACAGAGTGCCATTAATAGTAAGTAATGTTCTCAGAACAATTGTGTGAGGGCAGTTTTATCATCCTCACTTTACAAAGGAAGAAATAAGAATTGCATTTTCATTTTTGCTTTTCATTTTTTGTACCAGTACTGGGATTTGAACTTGGGGGTTGGGAGCTATTTCTTTGCTTTTTTGCTCAAGGCTGGCCATCTACCACTTGAACCACAGCTCTACTTCCAGCTTTTTGTTAGTTAATTGTGGATAAGAGTCTCACAGACTTTCCTGCATAGGCTGGCTTCAAACCATGATCCTCAGATCTCAGCCTCCTCAGTAGCTAGGATTACAAGCATGAGCCACCAGCCACTTGGCCTGTCTTATGGTTTTAAGAGTCTCTGTCTGTGGTAGCTTGATCAATTGACTTTGCTGGCTTCTGGCATGGTGTAAGGAAGGATATGTAGAAGTGCATAGTTCAGGGCTGGGAATATGGTTAGTGATAGAGTGGTTGCCTAGCATGCATAAAGCCCTGGGTTTGATTCCTCAGTACCACATAAACAGAAAAAGCCAGAAGTGGTTCTGTGGCTCAAGTGATAGAGTACTAGTCTTGAGCAAAAGAAGCTCAGGGACAGTGCCCAAATCCTGAGTTCTAGCCCCACTGGCAAAAAAAAAAAAAGTGCATGGTTCATGTTGTATGACAGAGTACACTACTGACTTTATGGTGGTCAGGAAGCAAAAAACGAGAGAGGCGAGGGGGGAAGGTACCTAGGTAGGCTCCAATATACTGTTCAAGGTGTTGCCCCTGCATTCAGGTTGACCCATCCATCTTGAGTCCTGCCCCATCTCCTAAAATTTCTACCACCTCCAATGGTCCCATCAGCTGGGGACCAAGTCTTCTATGAGCTTTGGTGGGACACTTGAACTTGAAAGTGTTATAGCACTCTTCCTCCTCTCTCTTTGGTAGTATTGGGGTTTGAACCCAGGGCTGCACACTTTTGTTACTTTTGTTTTGTGTTATTGATCATAGGGCTTGAACTCTGGGCCTGAGCGCTGTCCCTGGGCTTTTCTGCTTAAAGCTAGCATTCTATTACTTTGAGCCACAGCTCCACTTCTGGTTTTCTGGTGGTTAACTGGAGATAAGAGTTTCATGGACTTTCCTGCCCAGGTTAGCTTCCAATCCTCAGATCTCAGCCTGCTGAGTAGCTAGGACTCCAGGCATGAGCCACCTGCACCTGGCCTAGGATTTTTTTTTTTTTTAAAGTTGGTCTGGGACTTGCACTCTGGACACTGTCCCTCAGCTCTTTTAGCTCAGAGTGAGTGCTCTATCACTTGAGCCACAGCACCACTTTAGGTTTTCTGGTTGTTAATTGGAGATAAGGGTCTCACAGACTTTCCTGCCTGGGGTGGCCTTGAACTGGGATCCTCAGATCTCAGCCTCCTGAGTAAGGGTAAGTTAGGATTACAAGTGTGAGCCACCAGCACCCAGCTGGCCTAGAGTCTTGAACCATCTATCTAGGATCTCAGACTATGGACCACAATTCTACCTCTGCTTTTTGAGTAATCAAGACCATAGATGTATATCACTATAGGTGGCTTGTTTTTTTGAGATGCAGTCTGGCTTTTTTTTTGGCAAGGCTGGCCTCAAACCATGACCTTCCTACCTGTGTCACTGCACAGCTGGAAATACAGATGTGTGCCCCCACACTGGGCCTCCCCTCTCTTCTTTCTCCAGGAGATTGTAACTGCATTAAACTGTGGCAAGAACATCGTGCCTGTCATTGATGGCTTCGAGTGGCCTGAGCCCCAGACTCTACCTGAGGACATGCAGGCTGTGCTTACCTTCAATGGCATCAAGTGAGCTCCTGGGCCCTAGGGAACTGAGAGAGAGCCAATGCGGGGAATGGGAGAACAAATCGCCCAAGCAAATCACATGTGGGTAAAGCAACCAGGCCCTGGCCTGCAGCTCCCATGGCCCAGCTGTCTGACCCACTCAGCCTCTGTGCCCACAGGTGGTCCCACGAGTACCAAGAGGCCACCATCGAGAAGATCATCCGCTTCCTGCAGGGCCGTTCCTCTCGGGAGTCATCTGCAGGCTCCGATACCAGTTTGGAGGGTGCTACAGCCATGGGCCTGCCTTAGCCAGCCTCCCAGCAACCAAACCCTGCTGTGCCTCCCATTTCCAGAGTCTTCCCCCAAGGAACAGCTCCTCAAAATGGCTGCCTGGGGCCTTCTCAGGAAATGGCTCTGCCTTTCCCTACCCTCTTGGTCCACTTCAAACCCACTTTCCTCAATATCTGGAGGTGTGGGAGAAGTCTTCCTCCCTCAGACTCTGTCATCAGGTTCTCTGCTTTCTACTCCTAGAGCTGGGTCCCTGCTCTGCTCTGGAGAAACAGGACATTGAGAAGGGAGAAGAGTCTTCTTCCTGATTAGGGTAAAGGCAGGCAGCCTCTGGTAGGAAATTAGAGACATAGGCTCTCTGCCTGGGCCTCTTAAGTCTGAGCTAGGGCCTACGCCACAAGGCAGCCAGAGATGCATATCCTGGTATGGCTGTCCCCTGAGACTCTGGTCCCTGGCTCGCCCCTTTCTGCTGCCTTGTCATCTTACTGTGGAACCACTAAACTGTTGCCTCCCCTACCCCCCTCCTTCTACCCCAGCCTTCCTTTGGGGCAGCTTCCTCTGCCATATCTCTGGTTTAGGTTGGGCTGAACTGGCCATTTGGCTATACTTTCTGGTGCAAAGGGTCACCCCTGCCTGGACAGGGGAGGCCCTGTCTCAAAGCCACCTTCCCCCATTCCTTGGTATTGTGCCTAACGGTCCTGCCTGACCTAAGCAGGCTGGTTTACCCAGCCTTTCACCCACTCAGGCTTGCTCCCTGTTGCGCAGGGAAGCAACCAGTAGCCTAGGCAAAGCCTGCAATTCTACGAGGGAGGCGAGATCCCCAGGAGCACAGGTTAGTCTTAGGACAGTTTTTGCAACTGCAGTATGCATGCAACCCACTGGGAATGTTGTTTAAATCCAATTCAGGAGATGAGCAGGTTGGGGCTGAGTCTGCCAATGGTCACTGACCCCCAGCTCTGATGATATCGATGCCTCAAAGGACAGTGCTTTGAGCAGCAGCTCCTCACAGACCCCTGCCATTTCCCAAACCCTTCCTTCACTGTCTCTCATCACCACAGCATCCCTGTCCTGTAATATCACTCCCATTGTGGATAAGGAAGAGAGGCTGAATGATGAGCCCAGTTCTCAAGTCTACAATGGCAGCCCTAAGACACCCCAGGTGGAATTGCTATCCTGAACATCATCCCCCAGGAAGAGTGGGAGCCAGACAGAAGTAACCAGCAGGAGCATCCCTCGGCCCCTCCCTGCACTGGAGGACTTGAAAGCAGTCAGGCTCCGGCAGGCAGAATTGACTGATACAGGCCATGTATCTGTCCCATTGTTTCCCTCTGAGGGTGTGGGGGGGGGGTCAAACAAGGCTGGTGTTACTCCCAGATCTCTGCCTGGGGAGCTGGCCAAGTCCCCTTGCTCTTGGAACACATAATCAGACAGCTGAGGTCTCTCTCCAGGCTTGAACACCTTCCTTCTCCTCTCCTCTCCCTGCTAAAGACTTCTACTGGTCCTAGCCTAAATCTGGCTTTGACTCCCCACCATCCTCTCACAGCTAGGCAGTGAGAACTCACTCTCCAGGAGTAATCCTAGTCGGTGTCATGACCTCTAGAGGTTCCCACCAACATTACTTGAGAAGTCACTAGTTTTTCTGTTTGAGACACACTCCATTGCTGTCCACTGCCATTGTCTGGCCCTTTGGTGACCCCTGAGCCTCTCCTGTCTTCCTAGACCATCAGAGCCCAATCTCCTGACCCAGCCAATGTCAGTGACCAGCCTCCCCACAGGCAGGCCTGTAGCTCAGGGGTGATGCCCATGACAAACATTCTCAGACTGCAGCCAGAGCCAGCACCTGGGCCCCAGCTTCCACCCAGTCACTGCCCTGACTCAGATCTTCAGGGCCAGAGTTTTCTGCTTGGCTAGTCTACAGCTGCTGCTCCCCCCACCCCGTGGTGTTTGGTGCTGAGTCAGCAAGGTCCCTAAAACCCCACCCACCACCCACTTCACCCACCCTTCCCCAGAGGCCATGAGCTGTTCAGGGACACTTAGAAGGCAAAATTTCAGTTACAATTCATTCAATCCCTCTACCAGGCCCACAAACACAGGCATCTCACTCTAGAACTATTATATGAGGTGGGAGGCACCTCCAAGCATCCAACTAGTGCATCTGACCAAGTGGGATCCTCACAATCAGTGTGCAGCATTGCTGACCCAGCCCTTCCTAAAGGGACTTTTGCTCAAGGTCAATCAGCTAGTCAGAGGACAGGCTCAGCCTGAGACCGGCGTACAGCCTTTTCCTTCCTCCGCCCCATAGCCCTACATGGTTGGTCAGTGGAGGTCCTCTCCTTGCCTAGCTCTGCAGTTAGAGGGAACAGTGAGGCAGGAGTCTGGAAATAGGCTCATGCTGAGAGGTCTAGCCAGCCCTACTGTGTCTTGGGCTACCCATTTCATGTGTGTAATTTCCAGCTAGGAGAGACTCGCTTACAGGGGAAGGGGGGTGGGGGGGGGAGAAAGCAGAGCCCAGCCCCCATGGGTATTCTAGTTTGAAGAGTCAAGAATCACATGACTTGTGTTTGCTAGGGGGTCTTACAGCTCTCTTTTAAAGCCAGTGCCTTAATATTCAATAAGATTCTACCTTTCAGCTTCAGACCCAGACCTTGCTAGCTTCCCAGACATGAGGCTGGCTATCATTCTCTGGGAAGCCAGGTCATGTGGGAAGTTGAGCTCAGCTCCCAGGTTCCTGTTGACCTATGGAAGCATAGAGGATGGTCTCAGCACACAGCCTTGCCCAGTGTCAGAGGGCAGAGTGGCAAGAAAAATGGATCCTACCTGTGTTGGTATAGCCAGGAAGACCAATATAGTTCCTTGCAGGCTCTGGGTGTGCTAACTCCCCCAGGAATAAGTAGCCAGGATCATGCCCCATGCCTGGCAGACTTTCAGCATTCAACAGCTTGATTGGAGATAAGGCTATAAGGCTGGATGGCCATTTCCACCATCAATCCCCACCCCTCCCCCTGCACATCCTCAGCCGCTGGTATGCTGGTATCCCACCAACAGCCCAGCATGAGTAAGACAGAGAGACCGAGAGCCCAATGCCCTGGGGCTTGGAGGGTTCTCTTCAGTTTGATTTAACTGATTTATTGTACCAGCTGGCACTACTGAGGTCAGGGTTGAGTAGGCTGTGGTGAAGGACTGGTTCCCAACCATCATGACCCTCTTCCTTTTGACCCCCAAGGCTGGAAGTGGCCGGGTACCATAATTCATCATTAAAAACTGATTGTTAGTGGTTGTACATATCAGAAGCCTTGTACCATGGGCCATGCTGTGCAGTGTAGGCCAGAGGGAGAGATGCCAGCTCCCATGTTTCACCTGGTTCCTGAAATATCACCTCCCCCTCCCCTGGAGGGACTGAAGTGATGGTATCAAGGGTAAACAGACCGCTGCTCCAAATGGCTCCCTGGAGTGAGCCTGTCCAGGTGAAGAAGATTACAGATCCTAGACAGAGGCTGGCTTCAGTTGTGAACAGGTGGTCCCCTGCTCTAACTTAAACAAGTTGTCCAAGGTAAACACTGCCCCCTGAGGAGGCCACTGGCTCCGCTGGGTAGATTTCCAGACGACCCATGTTCACACTGCACCTCTTGCCCTCTTGTCTTCTGTCCACACAGATTAGGGGCTCTGAGGAAACTGCTGGAATTCCAGGTGAGGATAAGTCCTTTCCAGTATCCTGTAAGGGACCAGAGAGAGGGTTCAGAGTTGATATGAAGAGTGTACTCAGTCTGAAGAAGTGACACAGGACTGACTTGGATGGGTGGGCCCAGTTTCCCACCCCGGCCCCTCCCTCCTCAAACTAGGCCAGTTCTGCCATCATAGCCCTATGTCTAACATGGGGATGAAGAATGCTGAGGGGATCCAGAACAGAGGGCACAGCTTTACCAAGTGGGAGTGATAAACTGATCCCTCCCCTACATGGAGAAGGTCTCCTGGAGGATCAGAAAAGTCAGCCTGGGACAGGGCACCCCCAAGGAAAAGGGTTCAAGAACCATTTCCTGTTAAGAGTAGGAGAGAGTGGAAACTTTTAGATTCAGAGTGGAGCATTACCCAATCAGAATGGCTGGGATGAAGAGAAGGCCAGCTCCCAGGAGGAAAGGGAAGCCCTTCATGAAGTTCAGAGTGGCTGGGTAGAGCGAGTTGAAGATGCCAGAGGCTGTCAGCATGGCCAGGGTATTCACACAGGCCACAGCAGAAAAGAGAGCACCTGTGAGGAAGAAACAGAGGACCTGTTCCAGAGTTTGCAAGAACCAGGGTCCATCCTGGCACCACTGCCTCACATCTGTGTGACCCGGGGCAAGGCACTTAACCTCTCTGTCTCACCTTCCTCACCTGTGAATCCTAGTGTGTCACCTATTATGATAAAGATTCAATAAAGTCATGCATGGAAAATTCCTGGCACAGAGGGGCTACTAAATAAATGACATGGGATGTCTTTTCTGTGTACGTGTACGCCATTACAGGGGCTTTGAACTCCAGGCTTTGGGCTCAAGCTTGGCTTTTTGCTCACATCTGGCACTCTACCATTAGAATCACACCTTCACTTCTGACTTTTTGCTGATTAACTACAGAGAAGCGTTTCCTGGCTTTGTCTGCCCAGGCTGGCTTTGAACCTTGATCCTTAGATCTCAGCCTCCTGAGTAGCTAGGAGTATAGGTGGGCCCAGCTAAAAGATTGTTTTTTACTCCTATTCTACTCACATCTTTGGGCTCAGGGGAGGGGACAAAAAAGCTTTTAAAAGGAATGAATGAAGCGCCAGGGTTCTGGGACAGCTGGGCCCAGAGTGGGCTGTGTGCTGCACCAGGATCTCTGTTAATCAGCAGATCTTCCTTCTAAGAGAGACATTACCAGATGGAGTACCAGGACCCAGAGTCCTGAGCAGCTGGCACAATGGTGCCAGCAGAATGCAACTTGTAAAATGAGCAACAACCCAATAGACACTGAGATTAAACTGGAAGAGCCTATAGTTGTCACCAAGTGCAAACACTCAGAGATAAAGAAACTGAGGCCCAGGACAGAGCCAGGACTGAAACCCAGCTCCTGAGATGCACTGCTCTTAAAAACAGACCTGCGTATGCATCCTGGTTCTACCCTTCACTTAAGTGGCCTTGGGGGAGTCAAGGTGTCCCATGGGCCTTTGTGTCTTCATCTGTCAACTGGGGACAATGAAACCTGTATCACAAGGCTGGTCACTCCCTCTGGGCTGGTACACCATTACTCCAAGGAAGCAGAGAACCCTAGGATCCCTATACCCACTTCACAGGCCAAAAAACTGAGGTGTAGGGACTAAATCCTTTGTTCCTTTATGGAGTTTCTGGGTTTCCCAAAAAGAACACAGTCATGCTCTTCTGACTGTAATTCCAACTCTGAGGACTCGGGGTCTAAAGCAGTCTTTTGCCAGCCGTGGGAGGAGGATAGGCTCTTCCCTTTCAGGATGGCCCAACTGCACCACTGGGCATGAGCAACCAGCTGGAGACAGACCCCACTCTTACCCTGGTCTGACCTGCCCACCAGCTTGGACAGTTTGGCCCGGATGATAGGTGTGATGACCAATGATAGGAAGAGCAAGCCATACCCTGTGGAGAAAGAAACAATCATCAGGGAAGTGGATCTGTGGAGAGGGGCACCCAGGGAGAGGCAGCAGAGCTCCTATACATACCCCAGGTGGGACTTAGGTGAGACCCAGAAAGAACTTCCTGGATGGTG